CGATCTAGGTGAGTGAATTCTATTCGAGTCAGTTTTCGTACCTGATCCGTTTTGCCAAGACCTTTTTCGAGGAATAGTACCGGGTCGTGTTCGGTATCGCCACTAAATTCATTGTCAACTGTTCGTGTCAACTTTGCTGCATGCCGAACTTGCTTACCGTTTGATCGATAAAAATGGATTTTTAATCATTTTTGAAAAATAATTAAAATTTTTATCGGAAGTTAGCCCTCAACTTGAAAAATTATTAACATCTACTTATTATGGATTAACCGCTAATTTTTAGGTATCGTTGACCTGTAAAACACTTGGAACCAATTTTCAGGGCCCAAATAATTAATTTATTCATTTACAGAAAACTAGGGTTCATCTTCCGATAAAACTTTTAATGATTTTCAAAAAACTGTAAAAATTAATTATTATCGAATAAACGGTAATCTATCATTGACCTGCACGTCACCTGTAAACGATTAACAGGGTCCAAATAATTCATTTATTTAATTCCGAGGCCCATGCCATACTCCAAGCCCGAATTACTTGAGGCGCCACCGCTACGGCACTTCCATTCGAAAACTTATTCACACGCATGAGTATGTCTCCTGTAGTCTCTGGACAAAACGGGGAAAAGAGGGAAAGACACACATTATATTCGTTGCCAACTTTGACGAACAAATCAAACGCTGGGAGAAACTAAAATTGAGGAAATATGACATTATGATGGTTGCTATAGGAGAATATTTTTATTTAGTGATTCAATCGCAAAAATAAAAGTATCTTCATAAAGCTCACAGTCAACTTATACAATGTAACTAAGGCCCGATTTCGCGAAAAATTCTCGTATTAGGAGAAAAAAAATTAAACAGATTTTTGAAGTAGTTCTCTCGTGTATATTATACGCGAACAGCATCGGCATGTGACATCACACCGCTAAAACCTCCAATTGGCCAATTCGCAGTCGCGTATCTTGATTTGAGATGTTTTATACGTGGGAGAAAATACATTGCAGTACCTTGAAATTAACAGTAAAATTGACGGATTAAGGAAAATTTTCATCAACTTTTGGGCATTGTTGTATGAAAATTCATTTGTGTTATGCTTTTTTTGAATTTTGCTTAGTTTCGGTTTTTTTCAATATCTGTTGGTCAGGTAAATCAAGCCATTTATATATGTTTCTGGGGGGAATTAATTGTTCTTCAAAATCGTGTATTATAATTACGATTCAATTGAATTCTTATCCAGTTATAGCAAATAGTTGCATTTTTTCTGCCATATCACACGCGGTGATTTCCTTGTTTACAAGCTTTCAACTCGGTTAGTGAGGACATATGACATCTCAATTTGTAGATCTCACTGCATTCTCCGAAGTGGTACCGTATATTAACCATTCTATTGAATAGGTCAATAGTTATAAGGCATAAAATGGCGATTTTAGCGTACCACGTTTTAAAAATCCGCATTTTTTTTCTGATGATATTGAGATTTGCTCGGTACATGTTCAATCATTGTGCCGATGCTTTGGGCTTGAGTGAAAATTCTCACTAATAGAAGATTTCCTGAACAATTGGTTAACAATTTTTCCTTTCCTGTTATAATACTAATGATTTTCCAAGATCAAATTAATTAATCTAATTTCAGTAATCAATTATTCTTTCCAACTAGATAATCAAACTAATTGAGTCGTTATATGACTGGGATATTATGATCGAGTGTGTTCCAATGATCGGATGGCACGTAATCGCCCAAGCAAAATTTTTCAACTGGATAATAATGGAAGACCGTGTAATTATTTCGATTTTGTTGATGTGCAATACATGGAATGAAACAATATAATTGGTAATTATTCTAGATGAAAGAATTATTCCTGACTATTCAAAAGGACTGGCAAAGTCTGAACTTGGAATCCGACGTCCTACTGCTACATCAGTGGTCAGAGCGGGCGCGTCGTTTGAATATATATTATGCAAGTATTAAGATTTTCTTAATTTACTTTCGTGTCATGAAGTGAGTAAAGAAGTGGTAATTTCTAACATCAATTTGTTTAAGGATATAACTTTCATTATATTTATTTATTTTTTGTGTATGACGACGACATGTATTCACCAAAAAAAAAATGCCAAATCATGAATAATAATAACAATAATAAAAAAAAATTAAAAATTCGGCCTATCCTTGGTCAAATATTTCCAGCAAAAGTTTGTCCTGCCAGTCCAGTTCGATTTCCAAGTCGACTCGATCATTCCACCTACCATGTGAGGAGGCAAATAAGATTCAAACTCTTCTTTGCACAATGCGCATTTCCGCATTATTAAAGTCCGGATAAATGAAAATTTAAAAAATCACAAAAAAATTTTGTGAAAAAATGGCGCCAAGTCGATGTGAATCTGATCGCCTCCAAGACACAAACATGGGACAATTACTTGAAACCACACAGTAGGCGAAATCAATATGATACAATCTTATTTTTAAAAAACCATGGAAATGTTCAAAAACGTCAAGTTTATGCTGACAGCGTCAACTGGGACAATTTTCCGCATTTTTAATTCTGATTGGAAAATCGATTATTGATAATAAAGGTTTATGTCATTCCGGCTGTAACACAGTCTTTTACGGCTGCGTCGCTTTGCTTCGCGTCCACGAAACGCTGACTACGCCCGTTATGACAAAAAATAGTGGGCGTCATACGGCCAAAAAAAATTCTTCGACGAATATGATTGTTGCAAACCTCATCTTCGCTAGAAATGTTTTTTTTTGGCGTAATGACAAAATATACTGTTTCAAACGCCGTCCATAGGAAATTAATTCGGAAAGAAATCAACTTGGCGCACCAGGCTGTTCGATAATGAACATACTCCGTAGGAAGTGAATGATTGACAAAGCTAGAGTTCGCACGCTAATTGACAAAACGCCAAAGTTATTGTTTGTTGAGGGACGTTGTTTGTGGGTGGTCGGGCGTCGGAAAATTGGAAATGGTGTATCGTGATAAAGGTGATCAAGTGGAAATAAAAACGGAGTTATAAAACACTGCGTTTTAATATTCACTTGTCGATATTATATACAAAAATATACAAAGTCGTTGAGAAAGCGTTAGGTCGATTAAACGAGTTGAATTACGTTGATTTAGATTATAAATTAATCGTTAATTAACAAAAAGAAGTTGCGCGTCGGTTAAAATCACTCGCGGTGTAACGTTGAGAGGCGTTAATGTACACGAAAAGCTGAGATGCTTATTAGGCGACGTTGATTGCAAGACTATACGTTGCTAACTGAAAATTGGGGGGTCCCAAGCTCGTTGCTGACCGTCGGGTCATCATACCGATGAACACCGGAAGTGTCCGAAATTCGTCGGTTAATTGTCGTTGGGTTGGGGGGCGTTTTTTCATGTCTACCTTAAACATCCCGCCCGCATTCATCACTCGTGATGAATCCTCGCTGATTGTCCACTCTGGTTGTCCTCTAGTTGATCTTTGTTGGTGTCTTCTGGTTGATGTTCTGGTGGTGGATCCGTTGGTAGCAAGCAGAGTTTTGCTATTGGTCTGGTGAAGGTGAGACGTTGAACTCGGGCATTCTGTGGCTCTGGCTCTCCGTCCAGATTCGTTGGGATTTCTGCTCGTGCTGTTATTAATTCAGCCATTCTTACGAGTCCATCAGCCCCTGACCTTACAGCAGTAACTCTCGCCAGTGGCCAATGTGCTGGAGGTTGATCATCGTCGATCATCAGGACCATGTGTCCTTCGTTGATGTTCCGTTGACGTTGATTCCATTTATACGTTGAATGATAGCGTTGAAGACATTCTCTGGACCATCTGGACCAGAATTGTTGAATTTTTTGAGTCACCAGATTCCATCTGGTAATTTTCGTTGTGTTGCCGTCGAGTTGAGATGGCTCCGGGATGAGTTGGAGAGGCTCTCCGATGAGGAAGTGCCCTGGTTTTAATACCTGCAGGTCATCAGGATCATCCGTCATTGGGACAATTGGCCTCGAGTTGAGACAGGCGTCGATCTGCACCAGGACCGTATTTAACTCTTCATAAGTTAATGTTGTGGTTCCCAGTACTCGTCGTAGATGGTATTTCGTTTACCCAGAAGATCCTCGCTTCGTTGAGTTCTCTCGTTGTTAGCACTGGCGTGTCTGGCGTTGGTTGTCTGTGAAGTCGTTGGATTGCTCGATTTATTGTTGCTGTGACTTGTAGAACCTTGGACAACGTGGAGTATCTGTTGAGGAACTCTGCCAATGGATGCTATCTTACTTCAACAGCCACTGGGTGAGCCGATGCTGGTCTCTCTTCCAGTGAGACCTCCGTTGGAGTATTGGTTGTGTCTTGTGGCCAGGCTCATGGCGGTTTGGCTAGCCAGTCAGGCCCGTTCCACCACAGGTGATGTTCGTTGAGTTGAGTCGGCGATATGCCACGTGAAGCACAGTCAGCGGGGTTGTAAATTCCACCAACATGTCTCCACCCAGCTGTTGGTAATTCTTCTTGGATCTTCGTCACTCTGTTGTAAACGAACTCCTTCCATCGTGATGGATGGCTGTTGATCCATGCCAAGGCGACCGATGAATCAGACCATAGGTATGTCTCTGCGTTGAGTTCCAGCGTGTGTTGAGTCCAGCTGACTATTTTTGTCAGCAGGAGGGCTGCGATGAGCTCTAGGCATGGAATCGTCATTCCCTTCAGTGGTGCTACTCTCGTTTTCGCACACACCAAGTTGACTGTTGGTGTTTCGTTGCCTCGTTGAGTTTGTAAGTAGACGACTGCCCCCATGGCAACCGTCGATGCGTCTGCAAATCCATGTATTTGTACGTCGGTGGTCGTTGGAGATAAGGTCAGCGATCTGGGGATGGAGAGCTGGTCGAGTTGCGTAAGTTCGTCCCTGAACTCTTTCCACCGTCGTACGTATTCAAGTGGCAGTTGATCATCCCAAGTTGATTTTAGCAACCAGAGTTCTTGGATTAATATTTTTCCTCGAACTATGACTGGTGCGATGAATCCAAGAGGGTCGAAAATCTAAGCTATTTCCGACAACAGTGTTCTCTTGGTGAAGTTCGTTGAGTTGAAGGTCTTTGCCTTGTAGTGGAATGAGTCCGTCGATGGATGCCAACACAATCCGAGAGTTTTTATTATTGTCTCCTCGAATTGCACTGGCCCTGCCGTTCCCGTTGACAAGTTGAGTTGCTCGAGCATCTCTGGGTGATTGCTCGTCCACTTCTGGAGTGGAAATCCGCCCGTATGGCAGATTTGTTGAAGTTGAGTTATCATTTCTTTTGTCTCTTCCTCTGAGTCAGCTCCACCATAAATGTCGTCGACGTAACGCCCTTTAGTTAGCGGTGGCACTGCTGCTGGGAATCGTTGACCTTCATCGTTGACTAGCTGCTGCAGGACTTTCAGAGAGAGCCATGGGGAGTATTTCTGCCCGTATGTGACTGTGGTGAGTTGGAAGGTCACCAGTCGTTGATTTTCATCTATCCACAGAATACGTTGCAGGTCCCAGTCATCTTTGTGCACGTTGATTTGTCGAAACATCTTGACGATGTCGGTACCAATGACGATTCGATGTCTTCTCAACCATGTGAGAACATCCATTGCATCCACTTGAAGCTTCCCGCCCGCGTGGAGGATGTCGTTGAGTGAGATGCCCGAAGTTGTTTTGTTGGAGCCGTTGAAAACCACTCGTAGCTTCGTGGTTAGTGCATCCACCCTCAGAACCCCATGATGTGGCAGATAATATGTTGTCGATGGTTCTGAGGTGTCGTGTGTACGTCGCATGTGATCAAGTGCTTCGTACTCGTTGATGAAGTCATTGTACACCTTGCTGTAGTCAGGATTGGCGTTCAGTCTTCGTTTCACTGAATGGAGTTGACGAAGCGCCATACTCCTCGATTCTCCGAGCGCTTTAGTTGATGTGCGAAGTGGTAATCGCACAATATAGCGCCCCGTTGTGTCCCGTTGATGAGTGCGTTGAAAGTGTTCTTCACACTTTCGTTCGTCTGGTGTGAGCTCGTTGTTTGCGTTCGTTGGAGTTGGTGGTTCTTCCTGGACCCAGAATTTTTGTAGAAGCTCCGTTAATTGTTCATTAGAGGATCCCCTTGCCGCGGAGTAGGAGGTCTTCGTTGAACAGTTCGCATTGCATAATGGACCGGATAGGATCCATCCGAATTTCATCAGTTGGCCAACTAATTTATTGTCGTTGGATTTCTTGATTTTATCTCCGATGATGATGTTGATAGGTCCAGGTGTTGAATCGGTCTCATCTGCCAGTTGAAGCTGCTGCAGTGATCCGATTGATGCAGATGAGCAATAAAACGTTGGTAACCGTGAGGTTAGCTTTTTGAGGATGTGGGCGTAGATCTCAAATTGTTGAAATGGCTCTTTCGTTGATTGGTGCGTGATTGCCACGATTCCTCTCGTTTTGCATGCGTGCTTTCCACCAATTCCGACGAGGTCGATTGTTGAGTGTCTTCATTGTAGGTGAAGTTGATGCACCAGGCTTTCAGCAATAAATGAAAGCTCTGAGCCTTGATCGATGAGGATTCTTGCGATGGTGTAGAATCCGCCGTTGGAGAATGCCCTGGCTTTTGCCGTAGCCAAGAGCACTAGTCGATGATCCGTTGAGTTGTAGGAAAGCTTGTTGTCCTCTGAGTTGATCGTCGTTGATGTTTCTCTATCCGTTGATTTTTCGCTGACGTTGATTGTTGATGTAATGTTGAATGTGCCTGTTGAATATACAAGGGGAATCAATGTTCCGAGTGATGTATTAGAATATATTGAATCAAACACTCAGACCTGATTCTTCCCTCGTTCCTGGTGCCTCTGGAACGTGGTTGGATGAGGTGCTGGATTTACTCCTCTCTTGGTCCAGATGCAGCATCGTGTGATGTCGTTGTTCGCATTTAAAGCAAGCCTTGCTGCACTTACATTTTGCCTCCGTGAGCGTGCCGAAGCAGTTGAAGCACAGGCGCATGCCTGTGATGTATGCCAATCGTTTCCTTGGTGGAAGGTTTTGGAATCCTGGGCACTTTCCAATGAAGTGCCTGTCCCTGCAATATGCGCAGCAATCAGCAGGTCTGGGTTGTTGAGTGTCGTCGCGTTGAGGTGCTGATGTCTCAGCCACATCGTACACACGTGCCCTTTGCGTTGGTTTCCCTTGTGGCGTTGGTTTCGTTTTTCGTTTCGGTGACTCCTGTTGATCATCTGGAGTCATGCCTCTGGCCGTTGACTCCAGGAAGTTGACTAGCTCTTGCAGGGGTACGAAGTTTGTTGAGGCACCCAATTTCTGCTCCCATGTGGTGCGTGTGTCGGCCTCCATGGAGCGTTTGAGTAGGTGGAATACGAATTGTTCACCCAATTCTTCTTTCTGTATCGCAGCTGTGTTGATGAGCTGATCCACTGTCTCCCGTGCGATGTGAGCGTTGGTGATCATGGCCTTGGCATCTCCCTTGGCCATCGTTGGCAAGTTGAGCACCCTGTTGAAGAGATGCCCTGCAATTAATCGTGGATTTTCGAAATGCCGTTGTAGTTTGTCCCACGCCTTCTCATAATTGGCGTCGGTTGCTGTGAATGAGGAGATGAGCTCAGCTGGTGGTCCCTGGAGGGCTTCCTTTAGCCTCACCAGTTTCTCAGCTGGCGACGTGTCAGGTCGCCTCCCCACTAGGTTCTGGAAGAGGTCGGAAAATTCCTTCCACTGCGAAAATTTTCCTCTGAACGTTGGCAAGTCGATTCTTTTGAGTTGAGTCGTCGTTGGGCGCTCCGTTGATTTCCTCTCGTGGACTGCGAGTTGTCCCTTGAGCTTCCAGATAAGCTTCAAGGTCTAACGTTTTACTTCTCCAGTCTTGAGAAATACCTTGCCCTTCATATAAATGTGTTCAGAGGGCAGGCTTCCGATGATTGTCTGGGATCGATCGGCAAAATCGACCCAGGCCTCCTTGATGTACATCTCCTGACCGTTCAGTTCTTCAATACTGGTGTCGGAGGCTTTTATATGCTTCATTTCTTCGTAAATGCTGTTGAATTCTGTTACCTTATCTTCCAGGAACTCCAATTGGTTGAGGGTTCCTGGTGATAGGGCGGTTGAGTGACTCGGGGTTGGTTGAGGGTCTGGAATCTCAGACATTCTCGTTTTTATTTTGTTGAGATCAGGTAGCGGTGGGTCTTCCACAGCATTTGCCCATTCTTCTCGCTCTTCTTGCTTTTCAGGAGCATGTACAATGATGGGAGGTACGTCATTGACCTCGACGTTGGGCTCGTTGATCTGCGTTGCGATTTCATCTCCATGTTCTTCCATGATGGTAAATGGAGTTTCCTCGCGTTACAACAACGCCGTTTGCTCGCGTGGCGCGAATCTATTTGGAATAGTCAATGACAAATCAAAGGGACGATTCATAAATAAAATAAATACATTGAGTGAGAAAGAGAGAGACATGAAAACAGAGACGCGCTGCGCGCGGTTGCCACGATCGGCACGATTTAGCGTTAGCTGTGTGTACATGTATCCATGCATGGTAGATTCTTGTATGCGTGAGTCGAGTGGAACTGTACACCCGCAAAAGTTTGTATTCTAACTCGTATTCTCTGCCTAGCGGAAGATCAACCCGGAGCGTAGTAAATTTTAAGCCTGACTCCCTCGCGACAACAACCTTAAAATGAGATGTAGTGCTTATACATAATGAGATGTCCGTAACGACTGAAGTAATTACGTAATTTTCAATCGATGCATTCAATCAATATTCCACTTACAAATTTAGGACTTGCTAGGGAATTGCTAAAATATACTTGTAATTTTTTACTATGTTCCCGGCAACGTAATGATACTCAGTGAATTGAAGGGGAAAAATTAGGCGCGCCAAGTTGATTTTTTTCCGAATCAATTTCCTATGGAAGGGGGTTTGGAACAGTATATTTTGCCATTAGGCCGAAAAAAATTTTTCTAGCGGAGATGAGGTTTGCAACGATCATATTCATCGAGAAATTTTTTTTGGCCGTATGACGCCCACTATTGTTCGTCATAACGGCCGTAGTCAGCGTTTCGTGGCCGCGAAACAAAGCGACGCAGCCGTAAGACGCTGTCTTACAGCCGGAATTCCAAAAGCCTTTATCAACAATAATCGATTTTCCAATCGGAATTAAAAATGCGGAAAATTGTCCTAGTTGGCGCTGTCAGCATAAACTTGGAGTTTGTTAATATTTTCATGTTTTTTTTTAAATAAGATTGTATCATAATCAGTTCGCCTACTGTGTGATTTCAACTATTCAGTAATTGTCCCATGTTTCTGTCTTGGAGGCGATCAGATTAATGTCAATTTGGCGCCATTTTTTCACAAAATTTTGTTGTGATTTTTTAAATTTAATATTTATATGATTTTTTAAAAAATTGTATGATTTCATCCACGCAGTTATTATCCCATGTTTCTGTCTTGTGTTTATATGCGCGTCGACGTGGCGCCATTCGTTCACAACATTTTTTTATGATTTTTTATTCATGTTAATAATTACCAAACAAATGATGCAATCAAGAGTATTGTTACCTATTTTAAGCCTCTCTGATATGTGATGGTTAATTGTAGTAATTTTCCTCGACGAAATATAATTTAGATATTCATGTTTTAGTTTTTATTAAATCATTCAAGTTGATTATCGAAGAATGTTGGATAAAAAATTTAAATTTGGAGGTAATATTTTAACTCAAATATTAACACTCGATTCCAATTGTTAAAGGGTAATTCACAACAATTTAAATTGAAATATTAACAATCGAATACAATTGCTAAAGGGTAATCCACAAATATTAGGTTATTTAGGTAATCAATTAAAGATTGAAATGCTCGAATATTGAAGCACAGAAAAATTTTAATTTAAAAGATTAAATTAAGGTGCAATATTTAAGTTAAATATTAACAATTGATTCCAATTGTTAAAGGTTGATTTACAAACATTAATTTATCTGTTTAATTAATTTACGAGTAAAATGTTCGAATTCCAAAGTATTGAAAAATTAACTAAACTAAAATTTTTAACTTGGGTGTAATATTTAAATCATGGAATTATTAACAATCGATTCCAATTGTTAAAGGGTAATTCACAAATATTAAAGATTTTTTTGAATAATTAAGCAAGGACGCATAAGCAGAGATAATAGGGGAGATTAGCAGCGCTTATGGCAAAAGTTCAACATGGATATTTCATTGCAGCGACTGCGGAACTAAAACAGAGGCCGTACCTCCGAGAGGTCGAGATAGAGTGGGGGGAAAGAAGGACAATGGGAGGCGAAAGTGGGGAATCTTCAGGGGCGAAAAATAAGTGGGGAACATCAAAGCGCTGAGTAGAGTCCGACTAATCCGTTCGTCAATTAAAAATTAATTTCTTGTGTCCTTATGAGTATTATGAAATGGAACAAGCGGTACTCGATGGGAAATTAAATCGTCCATCCACCAACACCCATTTCATCCCTTAATCGCTGTAACAAAAAAATAAATGCATCGATGAAAGTCACCCCGCCGAGGACAATCCAGCGGTTTCCCAGCACCGAGTAGTCTCCGAGTAATCCGTTCACTAATTAAACATTAATCTCTGCTCTTCTAATTATTATTGAGGGATGAAACAAGCGATACTCGATGGAAAATGAAATCGTCCATCCATTGACACCCATTTCACCCCTTAATCTCTATAAGAAAAAATTAAAGACATTGACGAAAATGAAAGCGCTGAGGTAAAGCGAATGGTGGGTTTGTTTACTCTCTCCTTCCCTCTCATATGTTCTCAACCAACACATACTCTGGAGAAACCCTCCATTCCGAGAATTGACGGATGGAGTATTAGGAGCGTGTGACAGCGAGAGAATGAGGAGATAAATCCTCTACCGCCCCGAACAAAATTTGCGTCCTATTCGGCTTTTCAGAATCGCGAAAGATTCTTTAGTACTATATGCTTGACGACGTCTTTTTTCGAGATTAAAACAAAATTCTACTTTTTATTCTCTTGAACGAAATCGGTGAATTATGTTTGTTGAAAACGTGCGCCACTTGTTTTTCCGCGAATTGGCGTATCGAGAAAGCTACGTTCGGAAAAAAAACAAAGCATGTATTGTTTTTGAATGCTCAGTTGAATTCCGTTCTTGGGCAGAACTACATCGTTTAATCCGACGGGCATTTAAAAAATGAACGCCGATTTTTGGGGTTGGTTTTTTTTAATGCCGAGGAAAATTTCATGTCGTGAGGTGTGCGTTTCCATCCCACCATGTCACTTAACAACCCCTAAGAACGCACACATCACGAAACGAAATTTTCGTATATACTTACGAGTTTTATTCCCCAGAACAGCCCACCCAAACAGCGCTAGGGAATATCAACGCTCTCGAAATCATAATAAAACTCGTGAAAAAGTGAATTCTTATCCGTTGCTATGGAGTTATTTTTGTAATAGTGTTATAAGTGAAGAAAGTAGAAGTCTAATCAGAAAGATCAACCGCGATTTATATAATGTATCTAAGGATACATTTGCAAAATAGCGTGCGTTTCAAGGGGAACAAGGCAATTGAAGTTTTTTTGGGAGGTTAGGGGCGAGTTGTTAGGTGAATATAATACACGACAGCTCTGTGTCTGTGACGTCACCTCTGCCTGTGACGTCAACTTGCCGATACGCTGTCGCATATCTTGATACACATAGGCGACGATTACTGGGCTTCAGTTTTCGGATGCGTTTTCTTGTGTCGGATCTACACCATTCTTTAGAAAAATGAACAAGATTATCAGTTATGCCATTCGTGGAGACCGAGCTAACGTAGAATGGTGAGATGATACGAAATGATTTGTAAGAGTATTTTTCCCGGGTCAACACCCCGGGATAATCCTCAAACTATTCTGGCTGCCGCCTCTATCGTTCACGATTGGGCGACAGCCAGGTTTTTCTGGACAACCTGACGGAAGACCAGCCGCGAAGGAATTTCGTCAACTCCGCGGACTTTCGGTGGCGGGTCTCACAATGCCGAGCCAGCATCAGCATGAC